ATCTCCGTGGAAGCGGCATCAGACATCTTTCTCTGTCGCCCTCCGCTTGCACACATCGATATCAGGATTTTTCCGGTTGCCAGCATTGAAGCCATTTCGGCTTTGTATCACACGATGGCAGAGAATGTCCCACCCATGGCATTGTGTTCGCTAACCATCTTCAATACGCAGCTGCGTGCCGGCTTCACGCCCCTTCCCCTCGCGTTTCCGCCGCTCTTGGCTTTTCACAATCTCAGGACAGTGAAGCTCTACAATGACAGTGCGTTTGAACTGGACGACGTCATTGCCTACCAGATGGCTTGCGCATGGCCTAATCTCCAATCACTCGACCTCCTCTCCTATCCTCCTCCGGCGAATTCCGAACCTCCTCGTGTCACCCTCGCAGCGCTTTGCAGCTTTGCAGAACACTGTCCAGCGCTCAGATTACTCGGGATCGATATTAACGCCCTCGTTGTCCCCCCGCTGGATGATTTTGATTTCCTGCGCCCTGCGCTTGTGACCCTCGGGGTCGGATATGCTCCCATCAAGAATCCTTCCGCCGTCGCCGATTTTATCTCTGCGATTTTCCCCAACGTGACCGCATTCTGGCCTAAACCAGCCAAGTCTCTCACCCCAGCGGAGGGACGGCAATTACTTGACCGTTGGGAGGCGGTGAAACAGCTTCTTGCGCAAAAGCGACGTACATCCTCTTGAGGCTCGCAGCCGGGTGAGATATCTTGATCCATGTATAGATTAAGGGCGCTCTAACGGTTCACAGGGTCCAGTTGTATACCCTTGGAGAAACTCATCCTCTTCCGCAGATTCTTAAATTGTCTCGTCTCACAGTTATAGCATCAAAAACACGATAATTCATAGTAACGACTGGCTACATGTGAAACGGCGACTCCTATTCTAACCGATCAAAGCACAAGATCGGGTCCAAGACGGAGAGGCTCGCATGGCTGTGTCGCGGTCCACACAGATGCATTGTGGATCGTGTCCTCTAGAGGGCCGAGGGTGTCGACCGTGATGAGCGTCGTGGGTTTCTTCCATCCCTCGGCGATGGGGAGGCGCTCTTCGCGGAAGAAGATGTTTACAAATCTGTTAAAAGCGGTGGGTAAGTCACCCGGGGTGTTTGAAGGGCGACGGCGACGTACTTCTTTGGTGCTTCACCGGTGAGGGGGTTGCCGAAAATGCTGAGGTACAGGGCGGACTCGCGGCTGCGGAGCAAGAACTCCTTGCGGGTGTTCGTCACGTTGGGGTTCGTTGCGACCGAGTGCGCGAGGCGGAGGCGCTGCACATCGCCGGAAGACGCGGGCTCGTAGTAGTCCTTGCCCGGGTTGGAGTTGGCCAGGGTGGAGAACGTCGTCTCGTTGAAGTGGACGTTGTCGCCCGTGCCGTCAGGGCCGAAATCGTTGCGCGAGATGGACGCGTCGTGTTCGATGAGATTGTGGCTACCGAGAGTGAGTACAGAACGAATGAAATACAACAGGCAACTCACAGATCAAGAGCGTCAAGGCTCAGCTGATCGAAGCTGTTGACGTCGTCTCTGGCCAGCACACCGAATTTCGCCGCCACCAGGATGGGCGCCCAGTCCAAATTGAAGGCCGCTAGCCGGAGGTGGGTAAGTTTCGATGTCAATGACAGGATTTTCGAACGCACCAAGGGTGCCGTTCATCAGGGTGGCGATGGTGAAGTTCCTCCCATCACGCGGAATGTAGCCGTGGTTCGCAAGGCTGTAGCATGGAAATGAGCTCAAACATATGTCGGAAACATACGAAGGTCTCACGTATTGAGGCCCGGGCACGGTGAGCGCGCATCCGTAGCTGTCGCAGGAATGAACACATTTCCACTTGCATCGGGGAATGCCACGACCGCGGTGACACAAAGAACTGAAGCAACGACGAGGGAGGAGATTTTAATTTGCATCGTTGGTGGTACTTCGAGTTGTCGTAGAAGAGAAGAGAAGAGTGTAAGGAGAATGCGATGGATGAAATTGAAAGACCATTCGCCTTATATTCACCTTTCCGCTGGTTCCGTTGTGTGTGAAGCCAGGTAATTCACGCTGAGTGATATGCAAGTGGATTACACTTTCGTGCGGAGATTTGATATTAGCGTCCTATCATTGGCTCCTGCCGCTGCGGGCTGCATTGCTGTGCAGAGATCGCCGGTGTAGCCGCGGATGGCAGAGTTCCCCCCATCCGAGCTATCCGAGCACTATCCGGATTCCGGAAGCGCTTGTACTACGGCGAAAGTCAATGGCTGAATCCTAATTGTGAGGGCTTTACTGAAGGAGTCCAGCCCTGTCATGCATAACTTCCCAGCACTAGTGTTGTTCGGGTCGGGTCGGGCCTGAAAGCCCGGGCTTGGGTCGGGTCGGGGTAGGGTCGGGCCTGGAAAATATCCTGAGCCCGACCCTAGGCCCCAGGTAGGGTCGGGTCGGGTCGGGCTTGGGCCTGAGCCCGGGCTTGGGTGTATTTTTCGACGACCCGATTCAGTGAGTTTTTTTTCAATCCTGAACATGTTCTACGATGTTTACTCACCTCATATTGTCCTCATATATCCTTCCCCTTGCGTAGTAGTCTGAACTAGGCTCGCAACGAAGATTTGAACCACCATCAACTTCATCTACAGGTGCTATTTTACGACCTGACCTCAGCTACGCTGTGATATGCTGTCGAAATGTGGGCACTACAGCAAGATCCACCTTGTAAATGCCAAAACCACTGCTGCAATTTTTTTTTTCTTGCCCAAAGTCAGGTGGATAAGGTCAACGGACCCGACCCAGGCTCAAGCCCGGGTTGCGGGCCTTGAAAAATCCCAGGCCCGACCCTAGGCCCGACTCAAACTAGGGTCGGGTCGGGCCTGGGTCGGGCAGGGTCGGGTCGGGCTTGGGTCGGGCTTGGGCCTAAGCCCTGGCCCGGCACATCACTACCCAGCACAGACCATCGAAGTAACAGACCAAGAGCCTTCATCGACCCCATTATTGAACTCATTGCTAGCACAGTTCGGATCCCACGAGACGGAACAATTCGTTCTCACGGTTCGGAAACCGTCAGCATAATGATGTGTTCATCCGGTATGCTTGCCGTTGGCAACCAACGAAGGCCACCGAGTTTTATAAAGCGGGTAAGGCGGACGAGCGGCAGAGCCCGTTACCCTTTTGAACCATCTCAAGATCGTAACATCTCTTAGGGCGGCCCCATTGGTCATTAATCTCACACTGGAGTGCTTGAGCGCAACTCCAATACCACTCCAATTTGCGACGCTGTGTGCCCAAAACTCGCTCGGTCGTCGATTGCGTTCCGACCAGCTCGCATTGGGCCGCGGTCTTTACTAGACATGTGTCTCAACTTGTTCAAGTTGGTGCAATATTATTCACCTGGACTTACTTCTACCTGAATCAATTATTGGGAGGAACTGTTCTGGTTCAACCAATGATTCAACAGTCCAATGCAGTCCGAACTCAAGCTAAGCAAGATTATCAGAAACCTAATGGCGAATTTTCTGCCGCTTCACGAAGCCGAAACACTTTTGGCGGAGGGAATCAGCGCTGACACAAAAAGAATGACCGAAACGTGATTTACACCAGAAGTTGAAAATAGGGCGCCCTAAAACGCTTTGCCTAAAGGTAACGGGAACCAATGCTACAGATGACCCGGTTGTTCGTGAATACCGGCCCAAACACTTTCTCGGCTTGCAAATTCAGAGGCGACGGTGTCTGGAAAGTTGAATTCAACTGATACTTTCTGAATGGTGATATCGGTGTGATGACAGGTCATTTTTTAACTTACAACTACATATTTGGCCACACAACTGGAAGAAATTCCAAGTATACAATGATTCATTTACACACCTCATATTCTCGCCCACTTGCGTTTAAATAGATTTTTCCCAATCACTGATTTGTGATGAGTAGGTACATCAACACACTTGTGTGAACCTCACCATTGTTCGGGATTCCCACGGTTCCGATTCCACGAGTCAACGAGCAAGCCGTGGATTACTTTGAATGAGTGGTAATGAATCAAATCAGTATCTCCACACGAGCAGTACTGTCTGAGTAAACACAACATCTTGGATACAACTATCATGTCTGCTCCCACTTTTCTGGGTGAATCTCTTTAGTAAGGCCAGCATCACTTGCAGACTTCATCATCTCACAAGGCCTATGTCTTGCAGTCTTCAAGCAACCAAGGCTTATGTCATGCAGCTTTAAATATCTCTCTTGGAGGTTTGTGTCCTGTGCTATTGCTTGCTGAATCATTGTGTCTTGCATGTTTGGTTATTATTGCTAAACAGCTAATGTTTGGACTCCCTTACAAAGATTTCCTGAACTTCCAAGGACTATATAGATTCCGTTGTCAGTGCCAAACTAATGAATTGAACCTCGTCAACCATATGGCCGAATTAAGGCAGCAGTCATTGTCCAGGCTTACAGGAGCCTGAGCAGGGATTGTGTTACATGCATGACACTAAGTTTGTTTGCAATACCAGGCTCACCGTGCAACTGCACATATCTGGCTGCATAGTGCTGGCCATAATATGAGATGAATACGAAAAATCTGTATCGTATTCATATCCATATCGTATTCACCGCAAGGGCCCCGTATCATATCTGTATCCAACCGTGGCATCCTGCCTGAGACCTGGGTGTGTAGCATGTTGCATCGGATGTGTGCACAGTGCATATTGGTTGCCCATATTACAGAATATTTGTGCATGACACCTGGAACAGCCAAGAAAGACGCAGTGCCAGATGATTGTCCACTCACAGAGGGGGTTTGAGTGGGGTATGTGGACAATAAATAGTACTTGAATAGTACACAACAAATTTCTCTCACCCACACTGGTAAAATATTGTGTGTCGCCAATATACCGGGGTCAAAGCACAAGCGAACAAACCGAGGACGCTTTGGCTGACTGTGCTTTGTTATTCTAATCACTTCAAAAAAAAAATGTTCATTTCCAACAGCGACCGCCCCCCCCCCCCTGGTCTCCTATTCTGTCCACTTTTCACCTCCGAATTGGTGTAGGGGTCAACATTGCCGCTTCTCACGATTACGTAATCCTTCAGGATAGTGTAATTCGCTCGCGGCAGCCCGGGGTTCGATTCCCCGATTCGGAATGTTTTGCAGTCCTCGCAATGTTTGCACTCGTCCGCCTTTTTTTTATGGCCCTCCTCATCCCTGCCAGTTTGCGTGTGCGCACCCCACAGGTTTCCACTAACATTTGTTGTTTGACTCGTCCTGGGTTGTGTAAGTGCAGCCTTCCTTCTTTTTCTTCGGCTTCCAATCTTCATGTTCTCAACCACTCCCATCTGGTCTCTCCAGTAGTTTCCGTGCAGTCTTTCCAGCTTTTTTCGGGCATACTTTACTTTACTGACGCTCAACTGCACAGCGGTCGGTCTCGCTCAGCCTAGCCTCTTTTTTTTTTTTGTCTTTACCTGTAGTACCAGATGCTCGGGCTCATGGTCACTCCGTCAACAAAGACCCCAACTTTGACACCTATTTCGCCCCCACATATTTCCGGTTTCCACTCTTGACCAACGTTCGTACTTTGTCTCGTGCCACTCACTCACGACCGTATACATACAGAGCGGCTTCACTACCCACGGGCCAGGGCTTCCCTAACGGAAATTAGAAATTCAACACCGAGATTGAATTCGAACGCCACTGTGGCGCCACTGTCGGCATTATTGAAATCACGGAGGGCTACTAAAGCCTGCTTGAAAGTTGATCTTCCAATGACCTAGGATTCCGGATCCCTCATGAGTCATCGCTCAACCATTTGACCTGTTAGGTACTCACACGGTGAGTGATGCCGGGAATCCTTGCACATGCTATGCTGCTTCTAGGGAGCGGAGTGAGCAATGTGCAATCGTGAAGATAAGCCAGCTTCGGCTCGGCAAGACCTGAACCGACCATGGTTAGCGTGATCACGGCTCCAAGTTAGGATTCCGACTTATATCGTCTTGGATCCATCCATGTACCGACTGTCAATCCTTCTTCCACCCATGTTATGAATATTAATTTCATCCGGCCATGGACAACAAATCTGCTGGTGCTCAAACGATGTAACATTCATCCTTCTCTCTGGTGTTATCTACTCACGAGTCTCGCCCCTCCGCAGATATTTTCAAAACTACTGTCATCTCTTTGGTGTCTCGATTCTCGCTTGGGATCATATAATTACGATCCACAGAGAATTTCACCTCATCTGGAGGCGCAAAAAGACAGCAAGCGCCTACTGGTTCATTGCCATCCGTTATGGCGCATTGTTTACCAACATACCTGTGATTATTTTTTCGTTCGTCAGCTTGATGTCGAACAAAGTAAGCATTCCGATTCCCAAGTAGCCTTCTCACTGATAAGTGGCTTGAAAGTCGTCCGTGCATGATGAAATTACACATGAGATGGTGCTAATTCGATGGCTTTTGTCTTAGATGTTCGAATTATACACTGGTGCACCAAGTGTGTATGCTCATCACCGAGTTGGTGGTTTCAGGTGGGCAAGCTCCCTGCCGCTCAGCGATGCGAGTCCTTGACTGCCATACAGTTGTGATGATACTGCGATTATACGCTCTGTACGGACGCAGTGCTCGCCTGCTCTGGTGGTTGATTGGAATCGCAACATGTTTGACGGCGGTAGCTTTCGTGCGTGTCCTCAGTCCTTTTTACAATCCGGCCGACGTATAGAATGGTATCCTAGTGGGGCTTAATGGCTGGCCAGCACGGGTTTCCCATCACCATATTTCCTGGATGTCATTTGTCCATCGTTCAATCCGCGTAAGTATTTTTTCGTTGGCATTTTCCCCGACTGTGACTGACCACGGGGTAGTTCGTACCGTTCGTGTTCTCCATCTCCAGCCAAGTCTCTGTCCAATGATTTTGCATAAGATTTGGCAGTTCCCTGGGAATGCCTGTTCGCCTGGGATACACTTATCTTCGGGGTCACAATCTACAACGCGTATTTGACGCGTCGTGGTGTTGGCCAATACGCAAACATGCCAATTCACACTCTTATGGTACGAGATGGTGGGTAGGGTCGATTCTTTGGCGCATGCTAAGCTAAGTGCAAGTGAACAGGTGCCCTGTATTTTGGGTGGGCGATTTGACGTCGTTTCAACTGGTTGACCTCATTCCAACATAGCGCAATGGCGCTCGCCAACCTCGCCAACATCTTCACCTTCCTGGTGTGTATCTCCTCTCTCCATAACCTTTCAAGTAACAGACTAATAATTGAGCTAAGATCGGTGGAGTGCGCACTCATGCTTTTAGTTTTGTTGCTCAGCTACTGAATAGTCCCAGCCACTTGCCCCGGGCTCTTTGGCGACGTTCGCAACCTGGCATGTTCTTGTGTGGTTTTGGCCGCTGTGTACCACTCATCTTCTTTTTATCGCAGCATATCAGTAACGATGATGTCGCGCCTCATGCTCAACCTTCACGAAGGGGCCGAGGATGGGGTACTGACTGCGTCGTGTTTATCGGGGATCCAGGAAGAAGTTCAGTTCGCGGCCGGGTTGGAATGAGATCACCGAGAACTAAAATTCCTTGGAGTAACCTCAGAGTGCGGGTAACTCTTGGGTCTGCCGGTCCGACCGAGGACTCAGTAGCTGGCTCTGCGTTATTTTATCCATGTACTTGTATAGTGTATACGCTCGGAATGAAGACAAACGTGCCTCGAGTCTCTGAGAAGACCTTCGCGAGCATGCTTCTGTTCGCATGGTGCGGATCGATGTAAATAGTCCTGGGAAGCATAACGCAGTAACTAAAAGTCTTCGCAGAAGCATCAGCCGAGATGTCGGCTCGTGAAGGTGGAAATGAACATACCTCGAGTTCTGCTGTTCCGCTCTGTCGAAGGAATAACATAAATATTATCCAAGAGTGTGGTGGTGGGGTACATAGTCTAGCAGGTCATCACAGGCCAAATGCTACACGGGCCACGGATCCGTGACCAGCCGGATCGGGCGCGCGTTGCGCGCGCGTGCAAACCGCGCCTTGAGTCCCGCGGGCTCGAGCACGTCGACCACGATGAAGTCCTACTCATCGGTCAGCACACATCCTTTAAAAGGTAAATGTGTGTGCGCACCTGAACCTGAAGTATGCCGGCCTCGAACGAGCCAACCGTGATGTCGGTGCTGCAACGCAGTTCACCAACCCAATCAAGACTCGCGGTACTGCCGTCCCATACGCTCGCGGCGGTGGGCGGGGAGGGGAGGAGGACAGCGCGCGCTGCGGTGATGCGCGTGGGCTCGACGCGTTCGCCCAAGTGCAAGCGCATCTGGCGCACAAGCGTTACCTCGATGAGCGAGCGCTGCTTTCCCGCAGCGTCCGGGAGGAACTCTCGCAACGATGCGACTGTCCCGCTGAGCTGGACGTGCACGGGGATAGCCTCGCCGAGTGGGAATACGTCTGATGCGGGGGTAAATACCTGTTGCAACATGTTTCTGTCAGTTAGTGCGGACGGGGAAAAGGCTGTCGCCGCACGTTTAGATCTACTTGCGAAAGCCGCACCTTTGGGCGTGGGTTCACGGCGAGCGTCATCTGGTGCCACTCCTCCGGCATGACCTTCACGTCAGCAAGGAAGTCAGAGGCCGAGGGCGGGATTGGGCGCGCAGGGCAGGTGCGGGGGCAATAGTTGAAGTGTACAGTTGCGCTGTGTTGGGTAATGCATTCAATACGTCTGTGCGGAGTCAGGACGCAAAGCGACGTACGTGTTCTTCGATGGCCCAAGTCTGAACCTACCGCGGCGTGTGCGGACGACAGTGATGGAGAGGGTGTAAAACACTTTTGCGTAGAGTCCTCCGGGAGTGGCGTACGAGACAAAATAGGACGGAGGAAGCGGGTATATTGAATTATTGTGCATGAATCCGGCCGGGAGAATGGTCGAGAAGGGGAGATCGCTGGGGCATTGGACGCCAGGGTGGTCAGCGAACCACAGAGTGTGCTGCTCGTCGAGCACAGTCTTTTTCGCAGAACAAGTCGACACCATGTTCTCAATGGTGCCCTTTACCTATTGGAAATGGAATGTCAGACGGGCGAACACATGAGGGCAGGAGCACACGCACTTTTAGTAAAACCTCGGAGACCATCTCGCGGTCTTCGAGACTCACAAGGCCAGTTATAACGCCGCGACGGCCATATGTTGGCGCGTTTGATTGTTCACCAGCGTTTTCGTCCTGGCCAGTGAGGACGACGGTGTCGCGGCCACATTTTTGTATGTATTTCCCCACGAAGCCTCGGGGCTTTGTGCGCGGACTGTGCTGGATGAGGCGTTCATCGTGACCTGGTTCAGCTGAATATGATGGAACGACACTGGATGGCGTGTAGGGCGGGAGGACTGAGCTGGCATCGTCAAAAAGGGTCATTGCGAGGAGTATCGGGAAAGTAGTTTGGGCGGAAGTAAAGAGCCTCCAACGAACCATTGCAGCTATATATTTTTTGGCGCACAACCCGCAGGTGAGTCATGAGACTGACAGTGAGAACAAAAGATTGCCCGCTTAGCGCCAAATCTGCTGCGACGGCGTCCGATATCGCTGCGGCCAACTGCGTACGGGGGAAATTTGGAAGCCGCTGCTCTGGCTACATGTGCTCAGGATAGATTGCGGCATACACTGTGCTGCGTTCCTTGACTATTTTTTTCGCAAAAAAGACGGTGACGCCTCGTATGTTTCGTTGTTTGATTGTCTTCAATTGATTGAGTCATGTAGCGGCTCCGTGAAGGTTCCGCCCATTTGGAGGTGAATGGTCCGAAGCTGCGGAACCGCACAAGGTTACCGGCGAAGACACTGGGTACACGAGACCGTCTAAAAGCGAAGGGTCTTTGGACCCGCAAACTTCAAAGACCAAGGCCATTGTCAATTTGGGATCCACGGGCCGGGGGCTATCGATGGATTTGAACCCAGGCCGATAATTGCAACCTGTTCATCCAGAAGACTTGCGGAGAGCTTGAACCAGAAAAAGTCGGTGGGGCGGGGCGTAACAAACATGATGGTGGAAGGCAAGAGCCGCATCAGTGGCTGTGCGTCGGGCAACCGCCATCAGTCAATACTAGTCACGGTGTGACTTCTCTTTTCTTTTCCTCTCGCTTCCATCAGCCTTGCCTCAGCCTCGACCTCGTTCTCGA